CTCCAAAAGTATCAAAGCCTAAATGATAAGAGCTAAAACTATAAAACTTTTAGAAGAAAAAAGGAGAAAAGTTTTATGATATTGGATTTAGCAATGATTTCTTGGATATGACACCAAAAGCGTAAGCAAAAAACGGAAAACAGATAAATTGGACTTCATCAGAATTAAAAACTTTTGTAAATCAAAGGACACTACCTAGAAAGTGAAATGACAATCCACAGAAAGAGAGAAAATACTTGCAAGTCTTATATCTGATTAGGGATTAATATCCAGAATATATAAAGGTACATAAAAAACTCAACTGTAACTCAACAACAAATAAACTATTTATTTGTTGGTTCACAAATGGTCAAAGGCTCTGAATAAACATTTCTCCAAAGAAAATATACAATTAGCCAATAAGTACACGAAAAGATGCTCAAGATCATCAGCCATCAGGAAAATGCAAATCAAAACCACAATGAGATACCACTTTATACCTACTACGATGGCTATTTAAGATAAAAACAAAAAGAGAAAAACAGAAAATAAGAAGTACTGGCAAGGATGTGGAGAAATTAGAACCCTAGTGTATGGCTGATAGGAATGTAAAATGATACAGCCATAATGAAAAAGTTTGGCATTTCCAAACTGTTTAATATAGAATTATCATATGATCCAGCAATTACACTTCTGAGTATATATACCCCAAATAATTGAAAGTAGGGACTAAAACAGATACTTGTATACTAATGTTCATAACAGTATTACTGACAACAGCCAAAAAGTGAAAGCAATCTAAGTGTCCATCAACAGATGAATGCGAAAGCAAAATGTAGCATATACATGCAATGGAACATTATTCAATCTTAAAAAGGATACATGGCATAACACAAATGAACCTTGAAAACATTATGCTAAGTCAAACAAGCCAGATATCAAAAGACAAATGTTATATGATTCCACTTAAAAAAGGTACCTAGAATAGATAAAAGACAGAAAGTAGAATAGAGGTTACTAAGGGACAGGGATGGGGGAATGAGTTATTGTTTAATATGTACAGAGTTTCAGTTTAGGATGATGAGAAAGTTCTGGGAACAGAACTGTGGCGATGGTTGCACAATATTGTGAATATACTTAACACCACTAAATTATACACCTAAAAATAGTTAAAACGGGCCAGGCATGGTGGCTTACTCCTGTAATCCCAGCACTTTGGGAGGCTGAGGCAGGAGGATTACTTGAGGCCAGGAGTTTGAGACCAGCTTGGGTAACATAGTGAGACTGTGTATCTACAAAAAACTTTAAAAATTAGCTTGGCATGGTTGTGTGCACCTGTAGTCCTAGCTACTCAGGAGGCTGAGGCAGGAAGGATTGCTTGAGCCTAGGTATTTGAGGTTGCAGTGAGCTATAATCATACCACTGCACTCCAGCCCGAGTGACAGAGCAAGACCCTGTCTTCTCAAAAAAAAAAAAAAAAGTGCTAGATACATAAGAAACAGAATAAGACATATAATACATAAATTTAAAATATGTGCCTATAAAACAATATTCGTGTTGCAAGAATGCACATATAGCTTATTAGAATTAATGAGAAAATAACTCAAATTCTAAAGTTGACCTAACAATGCAATGAAGTTTCAATCACTATCCTAACTGTTTCTTTTTGTGAATGAGCTGATCCTAAATTTTGTATGGAAATGTAAAAGGTCAAAAATAGCTTAAAAAATCTTAAAGAAAACAAGGTGAAAGTATTTTATTTATTAGGTATTAAGACTAATAAAAATAGCTGGGCATGGTGGCATATGCCTCTAGTCCCAGCCACTGGGGAGGCTGAAACTGGAGGATCACTTGAGCCCAGGAGTTGAAATCCAGCCTAGGCAACATAGCAAGTCCCTGTCTATAAAAACAAAAACAAAACGAAACAAAAACCAGACCTATAATACACAAAATCATTATAATTAAGATAGGAGGGTAATTAAGGTTTTGTAACTAAGGTAATACAAGGAATGACAATTAGGCTAATAGAATATAATAGAGTCTAGAAACAGACCTACATGTACACAGTTAATTTACAATAAAAATAGCATTGAAGAGCAACAGAGAAATTATGGTCTTTTGAATAACTAATGGTGGGACAACTGGATAGCCATTTAGGAAAAAAAAAGAAACTAAGTCACTACCTAACATCATATACAACATAAATTCCAGATCTGTATCTGGAACACAAAATAATGAAGGTTTGGGAGGTAATATATGGAAGATATTTTTGGCCTCCTTGTTTAAGAAGACAATATAATATATGGGCTATAGATAGATATTGACTATATATTTTCTTCTTAAACAGGAGACCAAAAAATAGGAAATACTGATAAGTTTAACCACATTAAAATTCAGACTGTTGCCTTCCTATGTTCACCAACCCTAAACTATTCACAACCTTTTCTTAGTCCCTACCAGTTCCCTTCTTGGAAAGAACCATCTTAAACCAGTTGAACCATTACTCCAAATTCCTATAAATACCCTACTCTAACATCCCCTTTTTGAATCATCATCAAGACTTTGTGTCAAGTTGATGTTCTTCATTGCTACAGTAGGTTTAATAAGCTTTGTTTGATCAACAGGTTTCCTTACTGATCTTTTGGGGGCATAACAATTGATAGTCCTTACCTTTTTGAGATATATACTGAAATCTTTATAGATGAAATTATATTTCTGAGATCTGCTGCAAAATTGGTTCAATACAATTGAGAAAGTAGATAGAAATAGATAAGATTAGTCATAAATTGTTGATGCTGGATAATAATACATGAGAGTTCATTAGACTATCCTGTCTACTTTTGCTTATGTTTTAAATTCTCTATAATAATAAACAAGTTACAATTCTTTTCATAGTCCTCAAGAGGGGATGCTTGTTAAAGTCATAGTCAAGTTACAATATAGGGCTGTGACTACCTGGCTTATATCCAGGAAACATCTAGTCAAATATAGCCTAAGTTATGCTGGATTTTGCAGTCTGGCCACTGACAGAAGGCAGGGAAGAGCAGACTGGTTGTAGATTTGAGAGAAATAATTCTTTTTAAATTAGAACACCCCTAATGTAGAACTAAGAATGATATAATCAACTTAAATTTGACATTTAAATCTTGGTTACAACAAAGAAGGGATAGAGAATATTTTCTGTGTTTTTTGCTTCATTTATTCAGAGAGTGAAATAGTATTACAGTGAGCTAAATTTTTACTTATGCTTAGAATGTGCTCCCTAATACAGTCTACTGTGGAAAAATTAAGCTTCTTAAGAATCCTGGACCCTGAAATTAGTCAATATTAGGATCCCATATACACGCAGGGTGATGCCCAATTTGAGGTTTTGAATAGCTATTCATATAAGTTGACTTTTCTGTGCATTTGTATCGAGGAGGATCCAGTTCAGGTTGATGTCCTGGGAACCAGTGAGGCTCTCGCTTAAATCCTGAGGGAAGAAAAAAGAGAAGAAAACACAAATGGAAACAGTCAACAGCAAGGAGTTTTAGCAACTGATTTCAATCTCATTTCTGAGGGAATTGACAGTGAGTCCTGTCAAATTGAGAAAAGAGAAAAACTTTTCACTCATTCATTCGCTTATTCACCCATTCCGTTTACTTTTACTTGTATTTCTTCTATGTGCCAGGCACTGAGTTAGGTTCTGAAAATGTAAGAATTAAAAAGAATAGTCTACATACTATGGGTTGAAAGTGGCATTTTGTTGTTGTAGCTTGCATCATACGTTGTTTCAAAGTAGTGCCCAAACTGGAAAGAAAAATTCATAGATTAAGAATTTAGAAGTCTGTATCTAATATTAGGAAATAAAGGACAATATGATATGAATTCTAACAGGTTCTGTCATATTTTAGATGGACTAAAGGTCTATATGTTGTTACTCTATATCCTTCTAACTTTCATATCTTTTGTATGTTTGTTTGTTTCAGAGAGATTTAAGGGCAAGACTCAGATAAATGACAAGTCTAGTCAGGCAAGGACCAAGGGAGAAGCTAGCCTGAGTCAGAAGACATTATTTATTTTTGTGGATTAATAGATAAAGTTCAAACAGAAGCAAGAGAAGAGTACCCACCATCCTTTTGATACTTTACAGAAAATATAATATTCAACTTGATAGTAAAGTGGGATAGGTGGGTCCAGCTGAGGACCACTCCTCTGCCCCAACCACTTCACTGAACAGAAGCCTAAGAGAGCACTGCACTGGAAGTTATTAGATTCCTTTCTCTCAAATGGCCGCAGACATTTCTTTTTCTAACAGAAGTCAACAAAAGAAGAGAAATTCCGATTACCTGGGAAGGCAAGGGTTTGGGCTGCACAATATTCCTTAGGTCATATCTTTCTTGGTTCCAGTTGCCCATCAGAGTACGGTTTGAATAGGAATTCTCATTAGTGGTGCATCTCCATCCATACTGAAAAAACTTGGACATATCATTCCAATCGGTCCACACTTCACCATGGCCATCTGCATTAATCAGGCTGCCATAGTGTGGGTTTGTGAGGAAACAGGCAAGGTTCTGTCTCTGGAAAAAGACAAGAATAGAAAAAAAGCTTATTGCACGAACCAGAGAAAAGAAAAGGCATCCCTTTCTACCTTCTGCTTTATATGGCTAGATATAACACAAGCACACCTTACTAATGATCTAGGCTTTCCTCCAAATTTAATTGTTGTGGTTGTTTCTTCCTCTCTAGGTCCGTGAACCCTCTGATCTATCCTCTCAATCAGCAGCAGTGAATGACTATATAGATTAAATGCGCTCTCTCAAAAAAACAGGAAAACCTTTAGTATCCCCAATATTACATGAAGAACTAGTTATATGTTTAGGTAATTTAACAGTTTAAGGACTAAAGGTATTGCCATAGTCAAAGAGAATAGGTAGAAGTAAGAGTTGAATGCCTAGATAACATAATAAATGATCAATAACTGATAATCTCCTTCCTTCTAGGCCCAGTTCAAATGCCTTCCCTGAAGTTAACTTCTCTCTCCTTTTATCTCACACAGAACTTATCTTCATATCTTTGATTGTATTTGTAATTTTCTACCACACGTTTGAGCTCTTTGAGTCCATGTCCTATCTCCTCTGCTGAACTGTATACCCCTTGAGGACTGGATCTGTGTTTTATTTATTATTGTACCCCATCTCTCTGCCTGTTCTCCCACTCCATAGTGGTTTGTATATACCACATGATCAACATTTTTTTTTTTTTTTTTGCCAAAAGATCAGTCTGGTCCCCTGGCTTAGGAGCAAGGTGATACCTTCCCTGAAGAAGAGTAACTTGATGCTGAGTAGGTTGGGTTGTTTGAAGAGTTCATAGAAGAGTGACAGAAATCCTTATATAGTGGTTCCATGTTCTTTAAAAGAGGAGACATCACCAAACCTGGCCTTCCCAGTTCTTCAAATATAGATCGCTCAGATTACTATGCCCAAGTGGCCATGATTTGGGAGTCACTGCCCACCTGCTTTCCCACAGGCAAAGATAAAACTAAAGTAGCATTAAAGGACGGCATCTCATGTAACTGCCCTCACATCATCCACCTTTGTGAAGACAGGTGCATGTACTGATGTCACTAACCAGCAATGATGACTAGAGTAGCTGGTCCCACAGAGTCCAACAGGCCTAGTACTCAGACTGGTGACCTAGGTGTCACTGTCTCTAGGGCTGAAATGACAGACATGACCATCCATTCAGTTGTCCAAGCCGGAAGCCTAGAGCTTATCTTTGACTCTACCTTCTCTTTCGACATTCATCCACTCACCAGATCTTGCTGATTTTTCTATCAGTCCACTACCCTCCATCTCCACTGCCAAGTTTCAATTTAGATCACCATTAGTCTTGTCTCCATTACTGCAGTAGCTTCCTATCTTATCTCCTTGCCATCAGCCTTGTTCCTCCACAATCCTTTCTCCGCAGGAAAGCAGAATTCTTGAGAGTGAAAGTCTGATTGTGTTATCTTCCTATTTAAAACTCTTCAGTGGTTTTGCACTATTTTCAGAATAAGGTTCAGCCTGTTAAAATGGCTTATAAAGCTCCACCTGGCCCTGCTTAACTCTTCAGTCTCACCTGTCACCCACTCTCCCTCCATCTGTTTTTCAGCCAAACTCAACAATTCTGTTTTTCCATCATGCTTTTGCATACATTGTTCCTTTTGCCTCTTCACTCCTCTTGGCCCAGATTAGGTATACTTTTCCCCCCTTAGCTTTCAACTCAGGTTCACTTCATCCAGAGACTCTTCCCACTTCACCCCCAAACTTGGTAAGGGTCCCTTTCCATACCACCCTGAATCCTTCCACTCATAGCACACAACCCACTATATCAGAGTTGCCTCTTTTACTGTTTGCGTTTTCCATGAGGCCGTAGGCTCAGTTAAATCATAGGCCACATATTGTTCATCCATATATCTAACCACCCTCACAGTGGCCTGGCACATAACAGGCACTCAATAACACTTCTTGAATGAATAGAAGGTAGGAGATGGAAGCACCTGGAAAAATTTTGAGCAGCAGAGACAACGGGATGCAGCCATTTCGGACGACATGAAGTTAGGTACAAAATCCTCCGTGTTAGGAACATGCAGGACACAGTCCAACCTCTCCTTGGCCTCAGCCCCGCCTGGTTTCTTTCGCTCAGAATTCGCCTCACCTCTCTGAGCTAGTGACTGCTTGTGACCTCATGAAGGTGTGACGAAGTCATTTAGGGCCATACTCGGGCTAAAAGGCACTTTGACCTTCCCGAGGGGATGACAGGGTGAAGGGACTGCGAAGTGGGTGTCTCGCTTTTGCACCCATGGTTTTAGTCCTTCCTTGTTGTCCCTGCACGAGTTCGTCAAGACAACCGAGTGCTGTGGCGCGTCATCAACCAGTGACGGGTGAAGAGGGGGCGGGCAGAGACCCGCGACGGAAGTGACGTAAGAAATGAGCGCCACAGAGAACTCGAGAGGGGAGCCAGGGAAGGCCATGGGCCCTCGGCGCCTCCTGTTGGTTGGCGAGGGGAATTTCTCCTTCGCCGCGGCTCTGAGCAGTACCCTGGGTCCGAGCACTAGCCTAACCGCCACCTGCCTCCCGAGCCTGGTCGACTTGGCCCGGGATCCAGTGGCTCGGGAGAATCTGCAGCGCCTGCGCGAGCGAGGTAGCTAGGCCGGCCCCTTTGCGAAGCCCCGCCCAGCCGCCGGCACCTCCCGAAGTGAAAAGGGTGGGGGTGTGAGGATGTAACCCTAGCAGGGACTGCTCTTGATCATCCCTTGGATATTCACAGGAAGCCTGCTGCCTGTAGCTGGGCTGGTTTGCGCGGTTCAGGTTAGGAAGAGTATTTCTGTGGTTCCATGTCCTAAGACATCCTTCTGTCTATTATATTTCGCGCCTTCAAACTCTTTGCCAGGTGCGGAGGTACGTTTCGGTGTGGACTGCACCCGACTGGCAGATGCCTTTGAACTGCACGACAGGGGATTTGATCGAATTTATTTCAACTTTCCACACTGTGGACGCAAAGCTGGAGTAGCTAAGAACAGGGAACTGCTTGCAAAGTTTTTCCAGAGGTGAGGAAAGGAGAGCCCTCACAAGTAAAATGTTTGAGATGTCCATAACATAGTTACTGCACTCAAACGTTTTAGTTGGGGAAATAACATAGACGTGTGTAAATTACTGTGATAAGAGAACACGAAGCTCCAAAGGAACCCACAATCTAGTTGGAAAGGCAGACATATAACCCTAAATGCTAAATAAAAGTGCAAATAATGTGCTCTTGGGTGTGTAAAGGGAGAATCATTTATTTTTGGTAGTGCAAAATAACGACAGCCAGTATAGTTTAATGGCTAAGAGTGTGGACCACACTGCCTGGATCCAAATCCTGGCCCACCACCTAACTATAATAACAGATGTGTGATTTTAGGCATGCTTACTTAATTTTTACGTGCTTCTGTTTCCTGATCTGTAAACTTGGAATATTAACTGCCTCATAAAATTATTGTGAACTTAAAACAGTGCTTTACATTATTATACCAAAATACAAGATTCTATATGAGGTGACCTGTTGGTCATAGTTGTCAAGAAACTTTTCACAGAGGCAGTATTTTAAGCTAGTATTTGAAGTATAGAATTTGAATTGGCAGGAGGGCAGTGAACAGAATTTTCTAAATGGGGAGAAACAGCCTAAGCAGTGAATCATGTATAGGAACTTTGCAGACTTTGGTCTTTCTGTGACATATAGGTGAACAACACAAATGCAAAGCAGATGACACCCTGGTCAGCTGCTAGTATCAGTGGGTTGAACATTTAATTTATAAATGTTTACTTCTGGCTACTTTCTTCTGCATTTTTGAGGTCTAACAGACCTTTGCAAATAAGTATGGTTGGATTTTAATTATTTAACAGCTAAGCCTTGTGTATATTGCTAATTCCTGTGGTAATTTCTACTTGTTTCTGATAAATAGCTGGATTTTTTCCCCCTATTAGCTGTGCAGATGTTCTTGCAGAGGAAGGAGAAGTCCATGTGGCATTGTGTAGAGGACAAGGTGGGACTCCTGCTGATAAGCCCCAGAGAGAATGGCACAACAGTTGGCAAGTTGTTGCCATGGCAGCTCTGGGGGGGTTCATTTTAAGTGATGTGCATTCCTTCAGCTGTGAGGCTGTGCCAGGGTACAAATGCACTGGATATAGGTAAGTATAACATAGGTTTAAGCCTTCTTCTTTTTAATCTCTCTCATCGTGATAAAAAATTCTCATAGACTCAGGCCCTGACTATTCAGTCCCTAGAAATACTTTCTTTAATAATGACAGACTTCATACCGGTGTCTACTTTGCCAGGAGTCAAGATAAGTCCTTTCATGTAGAAGGTGCTTTGAATCATGTCTTCACCCGGAGCTTACCCTTTGAATGTTCTCAACCCAGAATCTTCAGGATCAAACTAGGTGACCAGTGGTTTTCCTTTCCAGAACCAGAAGCACTTTCAGGAAAGTTGAACAGGTAACCTGTTATTTTGCTGGAAATCTCTTCCATCTCTAGTTGTATCCTGATTGTCTTGATGGCAACCATGTATTGAGTGGATTGTACATAAATTGTTAGTGATGTTGGTGCTTTGATTAATTGTCAGTATGGCCTCCTTAACCCTCTTTATAACTGAAAATTATCATATTTCCTAATATATTCTAGGGATGGTGCCTGTCAGAGTTTTGAAATACATGATATCTCTCCTTATAGTAGATGATTTCCTTGTTTCCTTTCAAGATCAATTTGAGGATAATTGTTTTCTGTATAGTTATTTGTGTCTTTAATTCTAGCTACATTATAATTGTTTGTTATTTCAAGTTAGAAAAGTTATTTTTTATGTGTTTAAGCAGGGGTTTCCTGGAAGCACCTTCATGTCATCCTATCAAAACGATAAATGAGAAACTCATTGCTGAATTGGGCAAAACTTTCCCTCTAAAAAGGCTGAAGTGTTCCTTCCCCTTGCTGCTCCAGGGAGGCATCAGTGTTCTCCCTTCCTGGAACTGTGACATTCTGTCAACTGCCTTTTGGATTAATCTCCGTGAAGATAACTCCAATTCTGAGTCCCTGACTGGTGGGACAACACAAGATATCGAGGACTTTTTAGTGTCATTTTCACAACTTAGCCTTCTCAAGGGTCCTGGAAGAGATGGTAAAGAAGAAGCGCGTGAAGGAATCTGTGGCCAGACCAAGGTCTGCCTTAGACCTTCTCTCCTAGTTCACATTCAGGCTGTCATCCAAGCACCAGACTTCCTCCCAGGTTCTCTGCACATCCTCAGTGGACCTGTCTTTCAAAAGTGCCGCGTTTTGCCTTTTACAATGCCAGTATTTCATGAGATTTTACTTATCCTTGGGTTTAATCAAAATCTGAAGGATGGCTGTCTTCAGTCACTGCTGGATCACCTGAAGGGCATTCTGGATAGCCTTCTGACCCAGACAATGCTGGAGGGCTCTAAGCTGAGTAGTTCAGTGGGATTTGTTCTTCAACCAAATGGAAAAGATTATATGATTTGTGTGGAGGTTCATAATTTTGGTTCAGATTGTGCCCAGGACCTAATTATTGGGTCTGTCACCACATCTGCTGCAAGCATTACACATGAAGACCAGTGTTTTGTGTTTGTGTCTATGAACTTGGACTTACTAGCCATGCTTGTGTGGAGTATCTCTGACTGGAGAATATTGTGGACCTTTGATAACCGTTTCCTGAAAAATTTTGTCCTTGAGAAAATGGAGCCCTTTAACAGCTATTCCCTGTATCCTCCATGTTATGTGCATGATATTAGTTTTTGGTTAGATGAGAAGAAAGGATTTGATGAACTTGAGTTTCACACTGTGGCCCGAGCAGTGTCCCAGGACACTGTCGTATCTATACAATTCCTTAGTCGTTTTCAGCATCCAAAGACTGAACAGATTAGTCTCTGCTACAGATTGACTTACCAGACCTGTGACAAGGCCCTCACCCAGCAGCAGGTAGCATCAATGCAGTCCCAGTTTAGGAAGGAGATTGAACAACGACTACATGTTACACCTCGGTAGTTTAGTAAATTTTTTTCTACAGTGTGATCCTTCATTGGTGTGGATGTGGGTAAGAACGACCAACTTGCAACCAGTAGTCCTTTCTGGACTATGTTTTTTTATTTTTTTTTTGTAAAATCTTTTACTTTACGACTATAGCCACTGTTGGTTGACCTTAAAGATGCGTTGACTCTGTCACTTAAAATTATAGACTATAATATGATTGGTGATGTTTGGAGTTGTGCAGTATTTTGGTCCTGAGTAATGACTATGACAACAAACAAAATAGCATCTTGTACTTCAGATGCTGTATTGCTGAAGAGAAAGTAAAACTTATTTTCCTAACTGTCAATTCTTCTTCCCTTAACTCTTTTGTATCATTTCATTAAATCAATTTATGAGAGGAGTTTTTACAGTCAGACCCACATTTATTAGCTTGCTAAGTTGCAAATATTCCATAATTAGTATTGGTTATTATTATTATCATCATCATAATTTTTTTTTCCTGTGGTTGACTGTTGTTAAAGTCATGGAAATAATAAGTGTCAGATTTAGAGTTAACATTTGGTCTAACTCTAAAGCCTATGTTTTCTGCCACTTTCTGTTACTTCTCCTTCCCCAGTCTCTTCAACAGTAATCACTTAACTGTGACTAACCCTAAACTTTGCCCCCTGGATTTTGGGGCCTTCTATTGTAAGTATCTCTCGGGGACACTGGGAAATTGGTTCAGCCCAGGACTCTGCAGAATGGGGTACTCTAACGTGAATTAACGTAAGTTCCTGTTAATAGTTAGGCTCCTCAGATTGGAATTATATTGTAAACTCTATGAAGGAAATTACTTTCTTATTTATTTTTGGAGAAACACATGTGGGAAGACAAGAATGGAAGTAAAGAGACAAATAGGAGGGTATTGTGACAGTGCAAACAGGAGATAATAATGACCTCGACCAGGATTGGATAATACTTAGAAGGACTGTCTGATGAATTAAATGCATGTGTGTGGGTGAGAGAGGAGTGAGGTTAGAGAAATAGGGGGATCAAGCAGGACTCCTGGGTTTTTGTCCTGAGTACCTAGAACAGAAGTGTCAGTGAGTGGGATGGGAAAACTGCCATCGGAGTAAGTTTGGGGAGTAGGATAAAGAATTAGGGATTTCTTGTGCATTGCTGAGCTCTCCGTACAGATTATTTGCTAATTGAGGGCAGGTAATGTGATTTATACCTTTCTTCTATCCCCAGTAGTGCCTGGTACGTGGATAAGGTAGCATTTGAGCTGGATCTTAAAACAAGAGTAGGGATGTGGGCTGGGCACGGTGGCTCACGCCTATAATCCTAGCTCTCTGGGAGGCCGAGGTGGGCGGATTGTTTGAGCTCAGGAGTTCGAAACCAGCCTGAGCAAGAGGGAGACCCCCGCCTCTACTAAAAATTAGAAAGAAATTAATTGGACAACTAAAAATATATAGAAAAAATTAGCTGGGCATGGTGGCGCATGCCTGTAGTCCCAGCTACTCAGGAGGCTGAGGCAGGAGGATCGCTTAAGCCCAGGAGTTTGAGGTTGCTGTGAGCTAGGCTGACGCCACAGCACTCTAGCCCGGGCAACACAGTGAGACTCTGTCTCAAAAAAAAAAAAAAAAAAAAAAAAAAGGAGGGATGTGGCAAGGGAGAATTGTTAGGCGGGGAGGGTGTGCGTTTCAGGCAGAGGGCATACATGAACAGAGGTATACATAAGGGAACATTTGGGGCACTTTACAGGCTAGTTGGAATGTAAAGTGTGCATAGGAAAGTAGCGACAGAAAAGATTAGAAAGGTAGATTGGAGCTGGAGTTAGTTCACGAAAGACCACATGCTGGAATGCTGGAATAAAGTTTGTACTTTTATTTGGCAGGCAATAGAAAAAACTGGTGATTTTTTTTTTTTAGAAGCCTCTTCCCAGAAGAATCTCTGGTGATTTTTTGATTAAAGAAGTGACACGTAATCCTTTGGAAAATGAATTGGGTAGTGTTGCATTGGATGAAGTTGAGATGGGAGATCCCTATAAAGATGCTACTGTAGTCGTCCTAGGGAGAGGTAGAAAGGGGCCTGCATTAGAGCTAAATGAACAAGAGATGGGTATATGAGATATAGGTAAGCTGGATGTTTGAACTTGGTTACTAATGACTGCATGTGGGAGTTGAGCAATATGATCAATCGCCATTTGCAATACTTGGGAATTTTTAGTATGAAATCATAACCTTCTGGGACCTTGTCAAGTTTAATGCTCCCTCTGTGAACTTGTTCCCATTACTGGTATGGAGCTCTGGAGGGTGGGATAGAGCTCTGTGATTAGGGGAGTGGATGGAGTGTCAGGATTAGAGGAATGACCCTCAAGAGTCACAGGTTGGTACCATCAACGTATCAGTATAAAAATACCTTTATGAAATCAAGTGCTTTTTCCTGATCTATTGGGAAGAGCATGGGCTTTGTGATAAGACAGTACTGGGTTAGAATATGGCTCCACCATTTACTAGTTTTGCAACCTTGGTCTTCAGTTTCCTTATCAATAAAACAAGGCTGTTGTATTAAATTTAAAACGGATAAAATATATAAAATGCCTAACACAGTGCTGTAGTAGCAATGACAGTGACAGATGTCTGGTTCGATTTGTTGCACAGAATTTCGTCAGTCTACTCTGCCATTACCAGTTTGTTTCTCCGATGCACTCTTTAGTGAACAGGCTGTCTCTGTCACTCTCACTGAAGTACATAGAAGGCAAGGTGTTGAAGTGACATTTTAAGGATTTCCCCTTTGGTAGGCAGCTGTGCTATGATCTTTAACTGAATACTTCTTCACGTCTCACTTTGTAGATTTGTTTAATAACTTTCTATTTGTGCTTTCATTTAAATAGGGGATCAAAAGAACGATTTTTGTAAGGGAGTGGAGAATGCTGAAAAGTGAGGAAGAGTTAAGAGGAATGTCCAGAGTTGGAAATGGAAGGGATAGCCATGATGGGAAAAGTCTCAAGTCTCAGGTCCTGTATCTTTGCTACTACGGGATTTACCCAAATTAGCCCAACAACGTAATTTAGTCCTTTCTGCGCATGTCAAGGTCTTTTGTCCCTCGGCGGACACCGTTTGCCAGCCAAAGCTATGTCTCCGCGTTTGCCGACTTCTTAGGGTGCCTTTTTTTCCAAGCTTGCCATGGCGAGCCGAGGGGCTCGGCAGCGCCTGAAGAGCAGCGGGGGCAGCGCCGGCAGCGGTGGGGACACGGCCCCGGCCGCGGACAAGCTGCGGGAGCTGCTGGGCAGCCGGGAGGCGGGCGGCGCGGAACACCGGAGCGAGTACGTGTGCGAGCGCGGCGGGGGCGTGGCCGGCCCGCGCGGCTCGGGCTGCCCCCGGGAGGGTCTCTTCAGCGCCGCGCGGGGCTTTCTGTGGCCAGGCCTCCGGGTGTGAGGCCCTGGCTCCCTCTTCAGCTAGGTCCTTCTCTTCCTGGGCAGGCTAATGTTCGGTCTTCGCCCCGCTTTGGGTCCCTCCACCTCGGGACCCTTCTCTCTTGTAGAGATACCTTGGAGTGCAGATCTGTGATGCTTCTGGCCCAGTCCCAGAGTGAGCTGGCTTGGTGGTGGTAGACTGGGCAGAGCCTCTGTGGGAGATACTGGCAGGAGCAAAGAGTAAACCTTTTGCAACTGTTTCTCACAGCTTCTGGTATTCCCCCACAAGTGCCGACCCTTTACTTTATGTGGGCCACCCAACCTCCAGCACCTGCAACCACAACCACTTCTTCCCAAGCCTGGGAGACTGCATGTTAGAACTGCATTAAAGGAGCTGTCAGCATATGGAATTAGAGGAGGTTATGTACCTGCACAGGTTAGGCCTCTACTCATTTGAACATAGGGGAAATGAATAAGGCCATGGAAAGTGATGACCTTGTTAAGAGAAGAAAGGAAAGGAGAGTGAGAGCTTTGTGGCCTTCAAGTGAGTGATTAGTCGGCTTGGGATAAATGGAGTGTCCTAGATGCAACAAGCTGAAGTGTATGAGTTAACTTACTCCTTAGAAGCAGGAAGTGGACAGAGTGAGTGATTAAAGTCGTAATTCTGTGGGAAGTTTGCTTGAGCCCTGGAGATGGTGTCCATACTTTGCAACATAGGCAGACCACGCCTCCCCCTCCTTTGGAGAATTGCTTGTAAGTGTTAATTGTTTCTTTATTCATTTTACTGAAAAAGAATAACTAATAGTTCACCTATTTAGTTGAATACCTTAAGTGCTTTGATGTCCCTTGCCCTTCTTGCCCTTTCTGTCTAGTTTTAGTCCTTCTGGTTAGCGGGTCCTTAGTGACACATACTTTTTTTGCGAACAGGTTATCTGGGAACAAAGCAGGACAAGTCTGGGCACCTGAAGGATCTACTGCTTTCAAGTGCCTGCTTTCAGCAAGATTATGTGCTGCTCTCCTGAGCAACATCTCTGACTGTGATGAAACATTCAACTACTGGGAACCAGTGGGTGATTTCTTCAGTTTTCTTTTTTTGTTCTTGATTTTGCTGCTTGGTACTAATTACCAATCAAGAGACAAATAATATACAAGTGTGACTATTACTAAAATAACTGTATTTTTACCTTTGTATTCTAAGCTTATGATTTGTCTACTGTTGAAGGCTGCAGAGAATTTAGCTGGTTTACTCAAAGGTGTAGTTTGTAATTTTCTTTTAAATTTTTGAAAATCAAAATAATACTTGGAGATAGTTTTCAAAGTTAACAACTACTGCACAAACTTAAAGGAAAAACAATAGCTCTCTTTCCACTTCTCATGCCCAAATCCCACTCCCTAGAGATAACCACTGTTTTTGAACCTTTTTTCAGCTTTTTAAGTTATTCTGATGCCAAAATAAAGTGTTACTAAGTAATATGCTTATACTGCTATTTATTGATTTATACATTATCTGTTGATTTCTTTTTTTGTTGTTGTTTAGTTTTTGTTTTTTGAGACAGGGTCTTGCTCTGTCACCTGGGCTAGAGGGCAGTGGCATAATTACAGTTCACTGCAACCCCCAATTCCTGGCTCAAGTGATCCTCCTGCCTCAGCCTTCCCAGTAGCTGGGACTGTAGGTACACGCCACCATGCCTGGCTCATTTTTCTATGTTTTACAGAGACAGGGTCTCACCTGTGCTCAGGCTGGTCTCGAACTCCTGGCCTCAAGGACCCCTCCCACTTCAGCCTCCTAAAGTGCTAGGATTAGAGGCATGAACCACTGTGCCCAGCCTGTTGACTATTATTATTATTATAGAAAATTCAGAGAGAAAATTTTCTGATCACATTTTGCATCAAAAAAATAGAGAAAGAATGCTTAGTGTAGGTAGTTTAAGGAGAATATAAGATTTAGAGTTTTCCTGTTTTGACTAAAGACTATTTTAACAAAAATAAGCAGAGTGTAAAATTCAAGCCTTCAGTGTGGACTAAACAACAATCTTTGCACAATTTATAATGTATGAATATTTTTAATATTAATATTTAATGTTGGGTCATTTTGATTTTTTTAAGCCATTTATTACAAATCTTGCTGAGAATGTCAGCATTTTTGTGTACCTTTGTCTCTTTAATATTTCTACTCAGAAACTTCACTTGCATCCTCTTAACAGGGATTTTTGGCCAATGTGACCCTGAATTCATCTGTTTTTGTACTTTTAGACACATTACCTCATCTATGGGGAGGGCTTTCAGACTTGGGAATATTCCCCGGCATATGCCATTCGCTCCTATGCTTACCTGTTGCTTCATGCCTGGCCAGCTGCATTTCATGCAAGAATTCTACAAACTAATAAGGTAAGGGCAGGCCAATCTGGAAACAGTCACAAATGATCAAGAGGTGAGTCTCTGGAATAGTTTTGAGAAAAGGACAAAATAGATTGCTAGTTAAGAAGGAACTTTTTAAAAAGAAGCATCATTTATTCATCATTCAACAAATATTAGTGGAGCAACTTTTATTTGGTAGACACTGTGTTAAGTCTGTGGTTGTAACAGTGACCAAATACCTGACTTTTTGGAACTTACAGTTTAGTGGTGAAGATGAACATTGAACAGTAATTCTAAATGCACTGGGTCTTATGGAGGAAAAATAAAATTTGCAATGGAATAGCATATTAGGAGGGGCTAATTTAAGCAGAGTGCTGAGGAATAAGTAGGTGTTAACTGGGACCTAACCTGATTAGTTTTCAGAAACTTGACTATGGTGTGTCTTGGCATGGATTTCTTTGGGTTTATCCTGTTGGGAGTTTACTCAGCTTCTTGAATCTTTAGGCTTATATCTTTTGCCAAATTTGGGAAGTTTTTAGCTGTTTTTTTTTAATTTTTATTTTTTTGAGCACTTTTTTAACTCTGTCCTGTTTCTCCTCTTTTTTTGGAACTTCGATGACATGAATGTCAGGTCTTTTATTATTAGTCCCAGAGGTCCCTGAGGCTCTCTTCTTCCCCCGCCCCCCCCCAACCCCGAAGTCTGTTTTCTCTCTGTTGTTTACATGGAGTAATTTCTATTCTTCTGTCTTCCAGGTCACTGATTTTTTTTTTCCTCTGTCTCCTTCATTTCCTCTGTCCATCTTTCCATTTGATTTTGTTTAGTATCTTCTATTTCTTTACTGAGACTTTCTGCTTTTTCATTTGTTTCAAGCATGTTCTTAATTGCTCATTGAAATACTTTTACAATGGCTGCTTTAAAATTCAGATAATTCTAACATCTCTGTCATCTTGGTGTTGGAATCTATTGATTGACTTTTTTCATTCAGTTTGAGATCTTCCTGGTTCTTGGTATAACAAATAATTTTCAGTCCAAAGCTGGAAATTTTAGGTATTGCATTATGAGACTCTGGATTATTCATGGGCTCAGCATGCTTTCTTTGCACTACTATGCTCCTCACTCAGATCTTGTTTAAGCCTTCTGTTTTAGCCGCCTTCTCTCTCTATTTATTTATTTTTTTTACTATTTTAACTTTGCTCTCTCACATTCCTGCTGAATAGTCAGCTTCTTTTGATACTACTCCAGCAGGGGAAAGAAGGTTGATAGGGTGAGGTCTCTACGTTGTTACTGCCAAGTAGGGGTAGAACTCCAGGTTCCCTACTGGGCCTCCATCGACACCTGAGGAAGGGGGTCCTCTTTGTTATTGCTGAGCAGGGGGAGGAGGTCTAGCTCCCTACTAGACCTCCACTGATACCACCCCAGCAGGTAGAGTAGAGGGGTACTTTGCTGCTGACAGGTTGGGGGTTGGGGTGGAAGTCCAGGCTCCCTAAGTGGTGGCCACTGATACCGTGGTAGGGGAACAACTCATTACTACCACCGGGGATAAAAGTCCTGGCTTTCTGCTAGACCTTCGATACATTGGGAGTGGGGCCACAGTTTTTTCCTGGGGTGTTTGGCCAGAGTAGAGTGGCTACTATCTAAAAGGTTTATTTATTTATTTATTTATTTGATTTTTTAAATCATGCTAGGCTACCCCTTTCTTGGTCCTTTGGCCAGAGAGAAAAGGCCTTGGTTGGGGCCTTTTTGTCCATACCCATTGGCATTTCTGGTTGCCAGCTTCTTTAGCTTCATGTCTGGAATATACAAGGCAAAAAGAAAACCCATGTAATTTACCACTGTGTTGTTCTTGTTCTTCATGTCTCAAAGTCTGTAGCCAGTCTGCCTTATTCTCTCCACCTTTCAGAGTCTTCTTAGGTCTGTTTTAATTATTGTGTCCAGAATTTTTTGTTTACTTAGGAAAAATAGGGGAAAAGTCCATTTTCATTGAAACAGAAGTCCCTGAGTAAGAGAAATGAAGGATAAGTAGGAGTAGTCTACCTAAGGGAAGAATGGAGATGAGGGAGGAAGTTGGGAACAATAATCTTCTAGACTGATGACCTTGAGGCTGGCAAGAAGGCCAGCAGGGCCTTCCTGTATGAATAGGTTTGACACTTGAGAGTGGGAGTGGTGGAGTGAATTAGATGAGGCTGAGAGGTAGGAAGAGTCCAGAATTATGTAAGACCTAGTAGGATCTATTAGGGAATTAGACTTTCTTGTTCTTTTTCCCTAGCTACATTAAGTGAAGCCACAAGAAGGTTTTAGACAGAAAAGAGATGTGATTGCATTTGCATTTTAGAATGATCAGAAAGGTAGTACTTTTCTGAACATTGTCACTCCCTTTCCTACCTTGTGTCTTGTTTCTAGTTTTTTGAACTTGTCAGAGGAAAGATAATATAGGATAAAGGACTCAATAGAGAACTAACAACATACAATGCGCGGGGTTTTTATTTCACTTGGATATCTACTATCACTTCAAATTTGACATGTTCAACGCAGAATTCTTCCTCTAATACCACTAAACCTCTTACATCACTGATGTGAACAGTGAGTTAAAACAGAAAGGAAGATTTCCCTTCTCCTCTTGTTCTTACTTCCAATCTCCTTTTCTGCTTTAGTTCTGCCAGTGTGAGCCAACAGGGAGCCACTTTGCAAAGAGGAATTGTAGCGTACAGAGCCCCAGGATCATAATCCTGAAAAGGGTGGTTGTTGCTGAGAGTGGTAATAATTCGCACCATTAGTGATGGCTGCCTTTCCAACTTATTGCTACCCTAAATGAGAGCGCCTTTGTATTGTCTCCTTATAGATCTGTGTGTGACTTTCTCTGAAGTGTACACTTAGGAATGGAATGCCACGCATAGACCTATAGGCTTTCTTAATTTCACTGAGTTCTGCCAGATTGCTCTCCAATGGTTGATGTTCCCTGCAGTGATACTCCAGGTTCTATCTTCCTCACATCTCCCTAGTACTTGATAGTTTTGACTTTCTCATTTATGTGATATGTGTCTCATTTTAATTGCATTTCTGTGATTACTAGTGATGTGGAGCATTTCTTGCTATATTTATTAGTCATTCAGATTTCCCTTTCTGTGAATTATGTATTCACATCCTTTGCTGATTTTCCTATTGGGTTTTCTATTTTTTTCTCCTGATTTGTAAAAGTTCTCAATAGTAACCCCTTGTAGGCTTTAGATATTGCAAATCTTTTCTCTTAGACTATCATCTCTCTATTAACTTTGTCTGTGGTCCTTTGTTGAACAGAAATCTTTAATTTTGATATAGTCAAAGCAACCAATTTTTCTCTTATGATTGGTGGGTTTCGGATCTTTGTAAAAGAATCCTCCTTCACCATAGGTCATAGAGATATTAGCTGTTTTTTTTTTTGAAGACAAGGTCTTGTTCTGTTGACTGGGCTGGCTAGAGTGGCGTCATCATTGCTCACTGCAACTTTAAACTCCTGGGCTCAAGTGATCCTCCTGCCTCACTCAGCCTCCCGAGTAGCTGGGACTACAGGCATATGCCACCATGACCAGCTAATTTTTTTTTTTTTTGAATAGAGACAGACTCTCGCTGTGTTGCTCAGACTGATTTCAAACACCCAGCCTCAAGGGATCCTCCTGTCTCAGCCTCCCAAAGTGCTAGGATTGTAGGTGTGAGCCACTGGGTCTAGCCCAATTAGCTTTTAATTTTACCTTTCACATGTAAGGCTTTAATCATTTGAAGTTTGTTTTTATAAATTGTGGGAAGATCCAGCTTTATTTTTTGCTATATGGTGAATTGATTTTCTAGTACTATCTGCCAAATAATCCATCTTTTTCCTTCTGATCTCTCATGCCACCTCAATCATACACCTGATTCCCATATGCATGTGGGTCTGTTTCTGTCTTTATTCTTTATCAGTTTGTCAGTTAGTACTGTATAGCTTTTATTATTATGGCTTTGTAATGTATGCTAGTATCTGGTGAATGAATTTCTCACTTTGCCCTTTTTAAAATTTATGTTTTAAAAATCATTTTAGAATCAGTTTGCCCCTCACCTAAATTCTGCTGGGTTGTAGTGATTCTTCAGTATACTGTTTACTGTATTTACATATTAAATATGATAATTAATACTTTTACAGTGTTAAATCATTCTTCCTAAAGTGATAGATTTATCCATCTAGACAGGTTTTCTGTTTCT